GGGGGCCACTGTGTCGAGTTAAGGTACGGCTCGAAGCTCCTCTCCCAAATACTAACGTCGTTCGAATGGAGATACAAGGGTAACATATATGGTAGACCCTCGTAGTCATATCCGCGGACCCTGCAGGCCATGATCATGTGAGAGCAAGGGGCATGCATGATCTGAGGGACGTTGCAAGTGCACTCTACTTTGCCAAGATCGACACTGTAGTTTCATCCACCATAACGTTAGCCGCCCAAGCTTGTGCCACCCTTCCCCCGTACACTAAAGACATGTCGGGCAGGTCCATACGGCTCGGCGGTATGCTACTTAACCAATTCCTCGGCCTCCTTCAAATGTTCGCTTTCGGCCTTTCCAAATCACCCAAGCTCAGTCAGATTTCTCTGCGTAATTTCCCACCTCTTGACAAAATATTCATTGCACTTGTGAAACGAGAACTCAACAATTCCAGACACTGGCAGCGATCGAACTCCGTTGAATACACGGTTGAAAGACTTTGACGAGTTGGTGGTCATGATGCCGTACCGGAAACCGCCCTCGTCATATGCTAACGCCCACTTAGCCTTCTGTTCCATCTGCCCCACTAACCATGCCTTGCCCGCTTGGTTCAACATCTTGTCTAGTTCTTTCTTTGTCTCCTTGAACTGGTGCTCTATACATACACAACATAGAGCCTTTACCTTGTCACAAACCTCCTTCTTCCTCTGATGCCGCCAGAAATTAGCAGTAAAATGTCGCATGCACCATCTGTGCACTAGAGACGGCAACCCTTCAATATGTTGCTTTGCAGCATGAAGAAGCCCAGCATGATGGTTCGAGATCAAACATATAGTGCGAGATGAGCCAAGCACATGTACATGTAGATGCCATATGAACCATGACCATGATTCATTGTTCTCTCCCTCTGCCAAAGTAAAAGCCATGGGTACTATTTGGTCCTCCAGATCAACAGCAGCAACCATCATCAAGGTGCCCCTGTATTTTCCAGTCAAGAAAGTGCCATAGACAAGTACGACTGGCCGACAATACTAGAATGCATGTTCCGTCTGCGCTAACGACCAGAACACATGATGCAGGACATGCCTCAATAGATTCTGAAAAGACATCCCTCTGGTGTCTATAAACCATTTCAAGCCAAGGTTGTGGTAATTCATTGCACACAATATTCGGGGAACCCTGTTGTACGCTTTCTTCCATCTACCCAACAAATCGCCAGGGCAATCTGCTTAGCACGCCAAACCTTTCTGTACTTCACATCATACTTAACGAATCTAGATATGGACTGTTGTAAGGAAGACACCAAAATGTCATTATTGTTATCAACGAGCCCCAATATATGACGGGCAAGGTAACGTGCAGTGAGCTAATGATGATTTTCCTTCCCCTTATTTGATAGGCAAGTGTGGGGTTGGACCACTTTAGTTATCCTTCACTTGCCATCACTCTCTCTCTCTCTCTCTTTCGTGCATTTAACCTCCACATATAACTATTTTTGCATATCACGTGGTACCTCAACTCCTGGTCCGAATGAGTGATGGTGTACGTCCTATGGTGATAGACAACATAGTCCTGAAGGAACAGATTCATCTCTGATGTTGTATTGAATATCATCCCCTTGCTAAGGATTATATTCTCATGGTCATACAATGATTTCTTACACATCTGTAGACCAGTGTCACAAACTATCATATTAGTCATGCTGGCATCCCTATAGGTCGGAACGCCATTGAAAGGTACGTTCATCGACCTCAGTTGCATAAGCTCTGTCGTTGTGTAAGGATCTGGTGGAACGTACTGCTGTGCTTCGTAGGGGGTATCATCCTCTGGCAAATTTGTGACTAGTCTTCCCTGAGCTGGCATAGGTGAATTATCCTACCTAGCGCGCCACTATCGACGAAATATGGTCGGCAGTCCACCGAGGGGTATGCCCGTGGTGGTAGATTATCGGTAGGATGCATGTAATCAGGAACCAGATGGTTACAGAGACACAAGACACAAGATTTATACAGGTTCAGGCCGCCAGTGTGGCGTAAAACCCTACGTCCTGTGCTCTGTTATTTGTATTGATCTGGGGTGAGATCTATATGATCTGTATGATCTTGTCCGTTAGGGGACCCTTGCCTCTCCTTATATATTCCGAAGAGACAAGGTTACAAGTAAAGTATCCAATTTGGTACAATTACAATATAATGTCGTGCTCCGCACGTCTTCACCTTGCAGGCTGGGCCACTTCCGGTGGTGCGGCCCATGTATACCCATGAGGGTATAGGGGGTCTATTCCCCCACAGCATGAAGTACCTCAATTGGTACTGGTAATGGCATAGCATGAACCGGTGTTGGTATAGTATCTCTGCCTCCTTGGTCATCGTTCGAATCGTCTGAATCACTGCTAACTACATCACCGATCCTGTCCTCCTCCTGCTCCTCCTCTTCCCGCTCAAACTCGTTCGCATCGAAGTCATTGCTTATACAACCTACTAAGAACCGCCTTGAATCATCGACTGCCATTGGGGTTGAATGAAGCTGCTCCTGCGTCAACTGACCGTCCAAATCCATAGTACCCATAGTTGGTTCCACATGGACCCCCACATTCTTGCTGAGTTTCACCGTCGAAGGATGGCTCATCCTGGAGACCATGCATCCTGTACCCATTCTCCACCACCACCTCAGTCATGGCCACATTGGAACCTTGGATTATCCTATTGTAGCGGGATCAGTGAGCATGGTCACCCCAGGGCATCAGCACGTAGTGTGCCCTAGTCTTTCCACTATCAAACCCCCTCCCCTTCAGTGTGAAATCACCACCAAACTTTGCCTTTAAACGGACACAAAGGTCGCTGAAGCTAGGAGGTTCATCAAACCATTCCAATTCTTCTTCCATATCCTCAAACATACCATCTTCTTTCCTAACACTTCCTCCGTAAAAAACTCGTACACAACAATCCATCTACAAAAACATTTGAGGAAACTTCATCAAGTCTTCGAAATCGTCGTGCCTACTAACTATTCTAGTATTAATACCTATACTAACTACACCTATACCAACTAACTATACTAACTAATCTAATATTAATACCTATACCAACAATTCTAACTAACTACACTAACTACACTAATATTAATACATATACTAACTATACTAAGTAACTTTACTAACTATATCTATCTAGCTAATAATAAAACTAACCATTAATAACTTAACTTTACTAACTTCACTAAATAACTTTACTAAGTAATTATATAAATCACTATCCAGTCTAACAAAATTTGAATCCTAACCCTAGCTAACAAAAATTCGATTGAAGCAACAAATGCAGAAGAGCATTACCTCGACAAACAAAAGGGGAAGATTGGGGCTCACCCCAATCCACCAAACGAGACGAGATGGCCGCCGACGGCAATGGCCGGCCGGCAGCGGGCTTCTTCTGGCGGCCAGCTGCGGGCTGCTTTTAACGCCCACAGTTGGTGCACGGGAACGACATGGGGTGGCAGGGGAGGGAGAGGAGAGAGGATGGGGACAGAGGAAGGCGGCGAGACAGGGTGCCGCCGCGCCGACGATGTGGACGAGCGGCGCAGCAATGGGGATAGAGGGAGGGGCGGCGCGGCAGTGGTGAGAGAGGGAGGGCGGCTCCCTCTCGACATATCAGGACGATGCATTTTGATGCCAAGTCTTGTCTCGCAGCTGCTATTATATTCTGAATCTGTTAATTAGCTCCTACAGAATTACAATATCCATGCGATAATTAGAGAAAGCTTAGCGGCCAAGTCTAGTCTTTTACCATTTCCTCCAATTCTCAAAAGCAAGGCCTCCTTGCGCGCCAAGGAGACGACTTTTATTACCTGCTGATCGACTGTAACTGGCACCTGGTTGCACTTAGCCAAGTAGCATGTCGCATATATAAGCACTGCTGGATCCTTAGGTGTGATAAGAAAAAAGGCCGATCTTGATAATTTGTGAACTCAGGCCTTAATAATATACATAACCGATGACTGTGCGGCCGGCCGAGTGGTCGGAGCTGCTGCCGGAACTCCTGGAGGCCATTGCACGGATGACCGGCGACGACTACGACGTCATCCGGTTCCGAGCGGTCTGCTCCTCGTGGAGAGCTGCAGGCAAGCGCGTCGGCCTCATGCAGGACCTATGCTGCTTTTCTAGTTCTAGGGTCAGCAGGTTCTCGAAACCCAAATGTGCATAGATGTTATATACAGTATATGTGTATAAACGCCGAAATCGCGATTCATTCTCGAGTATAGACTACTAGTAGTATAGTATGTCTGGTGTTTCATGGAACTGGAGCTTTCATTCTTTCAGCGCGTAGCATCTGAACATATATTTTCCCTCTTTTTCATCACAGGTTTCCTTTCTGACTCGACAAGGGTCTTCCTCCGGTCGTCATTTGCATTTCTTTTGCTGTCCAAAGGGCTCTCGACGATGTTATTTGTCCGGCATACGCATACGCACATCAATACAGCATGTCATCAGTTGCCAGTTGCCACGGCAAATCCACTTGGGCCGTGTCCCCCGAACACCGAACTTGGGGTGTCCCGTGTTCTTATCTTCGCCTCATGGAGCCATGGGCTGTCCCAAAGCCTCGATACCATTTGCCGTCAGGCGTCAGCGTCTCAGCGGCACGAGGATAAGAACGAGGCCGCGCAGCGCAGGGCACGGGGCACGCGCACCACGGGCGCCGGGGAATGCTCAAGCTGCTGCACGTATCGTCCCGTAGACGCTCGCCCGCGGACCGCGTGTCCCCACCACCTGTCCACGCGCCACGGGAGACGTGCGCCGCCTGCGTGCGCGTCGCCGCCCGGCCGTTCTAGACCTGTAGACCTTCGGGCTCCTCTCGAGCTCCACTATATATAGAGGCAAGTGGAGCCTTTTGTTTCAGCAGCGCAACTTCTTTCTGCTCCTCAACACTCTCGCCCCTGGTTCAAGTGCGGCAGAGGGACCCGGAAAGCGGAGCGGAGCGGCGACCGGTGCGGCAACACAGGCATCAGGCATGGGGTGCGACGACAAGTGTGGGTGCGCCGTGCCGTGCCCCGGCGGCAAGGACTGCAGGTGCACGTCAGGGAGCGGCGCCGGCCGGCAGCGGGAGCACACGACGTGCGGCTGCGGGGAGCACTGCGAGTGCAGCCCGTGCACCTGCGGCAGGGCCATGATGCCGTCCGGCCGGGAGAACAGGAGGGCCAACTGCTCCTGCGGGCCGGCCTGCAACTGTGCATCCTGCGCCTCGTCCTGATCGTGATCGGTGCGCAGCCGGCAGCAGCCCAGGGTCGTCCATGCACATGCTGACATGCACCGCTTGTGCTACTTCTACCTAGTGGAGTTGTCTAGTGGGCTGGGCTGGGTTGGAAGCTCCTAGTACTAGTAGTACATACATACTCACTATACAGGATAATAAAGGGCTTGTGTATAGGTCGAGCCTATGTCATGCACACATGCTCGCCAGATGCATCACGCGCTGCAACGTGGTAGGGAGTATGTAAACCTACTTTAGTATAAGTTGGTGATATATATGTATATCAAATGTACGAATAAAAGGTTCATCAGTGTCAAAATAAAATTCTCGACTTAATGTGAATGTTTTTATTTTTCTAGATTTATTTCAGTGTAACGGCATTATTCTTCTTTTAATAGTAGTAGATAGTGTTCATGATAGCGAGGCGATTGTGATGATTTTGTTAATTTTCGGAGATCTTCATAAGAGAGGAGGATGAGGATGGGTGTGCACGCATTGTGATTTCATCGATCTCGAAATTCGTGGACTCTATTTCCGCTGATTCGGAAATACCCATAAAGGTATCCGTCGACTCGGAAATACACATAAAGGTAAGCAGTATTTACGTGAGTGTGCTTGCATTGTTTGTACGAGTGTCTGTATAATTCGAAAAAAGGTTGATTAGTGTTGTTTATCAAGGTTCAAGGTTACCTGACACTGAGCATGTTATTACTTGGCGCAGCGCATCAACGCCTGCCTATCAACGCAATAAGCCCCGGCCTGTCTAGTTCTACCCGCCGGCTACTGGTCGACCGGTTGGAGTCGTGAACGGGTGGCTGCTTAAATACTACAGTGCCTATCGAGAAGTGCTGCTCAGCAGCAGCCGCAGCGCTACTGAAGCCAGCACTCCCGATCAGTCGCGTGTCCACCTGTATGAGTTCCGAATCAATGAAGTGGGTCCACTTTCAGCAGTATCACCGTCACCGAACTTAACCCCCACAAGGCCACAACGCTGGAAGAGAACAGATATCAGTAGTACACCTGCAGTTCTGATGCCACAACGATCAGCACGAGAAAGCATCGACACATGTTTCCAGAGGAAACCACCGGTTGGATTAGATAGTTTGATTTGATATATTGGGAATCAAGAATCAACTGTTGAAAAGACAAGACTACAGACATTCTGAGGTAACATCCGACCGATATGTATGTACACCAATCCAAATCGCAAATACAACACTGTAAGAACAAAGACATGACCACCATGTATGAGAAAAGTTAATGGTTGCCTGACTTTTTGATTATTTTGTTTTCGGGACTATGGACGCCGCCGCCTTCAAATCCTGGGGCTTGAAGAACGTTAAGCCGAACACTCCTGCAGATGCACGACATTTTAAGATTTGCGGGCAGTGTCTGGCTCGCTCGCTTTAGCTACTGGCCAAGGTTCCCGAGAAGACGCTCCACCGCAGCATGTACATTCCCAGCGGTAGCGACCAGTGCTTGAATGTTCTCCGCGGTGTCAATGAAACCCATTTCTTGGAGCTGAGTAAGCTGTGTGGCATAGAGCTCCTCCGGTGGCACTGAAATGTCATCATGTAATGATTACAGACCAGAAATAATAGTCAATCCAAGTTATTTGTCAAAAAAAAATAGTCAATCCAAGTTTTTCAACAGTAGTGTATACTCACCATTGGAAGTATTTGGAACACCTAGGCCACCTCCCGAACCAAGCCCGCTGAGCATGCTCATCAAGGTGTCAAGGCTAGGGTTTCCCCGCGTACCTGTAAATATTTCATACCACTTGCTTAACTGGAGTAATAATTTGTTTTCTCGAAAACGCAGGAGAAATTGGAGTAATAATTTCACATATTTATCCAGTATAAGAACTTAAAATCAATGCAGAGCTGTCCATCTAACATGCTCCAGAAAGAGGAACTTATCAAGGTGTGTGTTTTTGCTTTGCTAGATTTCTCCCAGCTGTTTTATTTTCTCTTGCCTTCTTGCAAGTTATAATATATAATGACTTGCAGCTCTCCTACCGATTCGAGAAGAACAAAATGGGGAACTCATTGCAGTTAGCCTAAAAATAATTCTCTTCACTACTACTTTGTTTGTATGACACAGTAAAGGAATTGTAAAGTAGCTCTGGAATGTTCAGCACTTGACAAATTCTTTTAAATGGTCCAAGTGTTTCTTGACTATAGCAAGGCCTAAGGAAAGGAACTTCCATGCAAACTAATTCCATTTCCAAATATCCATGCATTACCTTACAGAATTTGAATTGCTGACCATTGGGATATTAAATGCTCTTATGCTATACACTCTTGGGAATTTGGCACTATAGGAAAAACAGTCAAAGGCAATCCTTGTCTGTTTTTCCCTTAGTGCCAAGCTCATCGCATGACTGAAACCTTATCAAGTACTCTATGCAAAGCAAAGCAATAGTTACTTTACAAATAAAGCAGCGCAAAAGAGCAACTCAACATCCTGACATAGCAATATACTGATCCAAGTGAAGAAAAAAAACAGTGGGAAAAAGTAACCAGGAGTTTACCTGTGGCACTGCCTGCATTGTTGCCACTCCTGAATCAAATCAAACAATTAAAAGGAACTCCAAGAAACATAATAATTACATTGTACAATTTCTAGTTACAAACAAATGTAAGAAGGTAAATAATAATAAGATTAGTGAAATCCAGGTACTGTTGAACCATAAACACTCACTGGCTAGGTTGAAGTTGACCAAACTGTCCTAATAAAGACTGCTGAAATGAGAGTAATTGCTGAAAAAAAAGGGTAAAACATTTAGATTTAGTATAAGAAATGGGAATAGCTGAAGGCTTATGTATCATAACGTACCTGCAAAGTCTCAGGCGATGTCAGCTGGCGAAGAAATTCTGGATTTTGAAGCATTTCCCTCATCTGAGTGTTTGATTCCATCAGGTTGCGTGTATTTGGGTTGAAGTTAAGCAACTGTAGCCAAGGAGAGAACACAAAACAATCCAATGTAAGAATTGCAACATCCAAAAAAGAACACAAAGAAAAAGTTGGCACAAGTTGAACTACCTGGTTCATGGTCTGTGGGTCAGACATAATGCTCTGCATCATCTGCATCATTGCAGGGTTTTGCAACATCTGATTGAAAAGAGAAACATCAGGTGAACCACCAAGCATACTCCCCAAATCTGGTGAACCCAAACCTCCTAAACCGCCAGCAGCACCAGTTCTTGGATTGCCAGCAAGACCACCAAGCAAACTACTCAAATCTGGTGAACCCAACCCTCCCAGTCCACCAGTGGCACCAGTGCCTCCAACGCCACCAGAAGCACCAGTTCTTGCGTTGCCACTAGCACTGGACCGTGTTGCTCCTTGTGCACTCCCAGCTGGTGATTTAAGTAGGCAAACACAAAAGACAACACATATAAACATCAATGACAAACCCAGCCAAAAAAAGAAAAAAAAACATAAGCATCTGAAACCAGTACAAGTATTCAAAACATACCATTGGTGCTCCAGGGATTTGGTAGTGGATTAGTATTTGGAGCTGGGGTTCCAGTTGTCGACTCTGAGCCAGTAGTGGGAGCATTTGTTGCAGGTTGACCTTGACCAGGTTGGTTAGACCCCTGATTGCCGAGAAGAGCTGAAAATGGGTTTGAGGCTGTGTTTCCTTCCCCCATTGTTGTTGCATTTAGAAGTGGCTCCTGGACAGTTTCATACATGCGCCGGAGCATATTAAAACCTTCAGGAGAAGACTCAATGTTGCTCATAGCTCTGTCTGTGTTCCGCATCATCTCTCTCATGATTTCAGGGTTCCTAGCAGCTTCGAGGGTTTGACGGAGGACACTTGGGTCATTGAGCACATGGGCAAGATCAGGATTTCGATCCATGATCTCGCGCATTTGTGGGTTGCTCATGATCATATTGCGTATTAAATCAGGGTTATTCATGAGATTTTGCATCGCTGGCATATTCATTATCTCCCTCATCAAGTTGGGATTCTGGCTTAAATGCTGCTCAACTTGCTCTAATTCTGGAAATCCTGACCCAAATATTCCTGATGGCCTACCACTTCCTGGAGCACCAAGACCTGGAAATAGGCCTCCCAGGCCACCTGCAGGACCACTACTAGGAGTAGATGAAGCAAGGGGGCTGGCAGCAGCAGGTGCACTGGATGCAGCTGGTGGGGCGACACCACGCACCAAGTGAATTGTGTGATCTGTCTCAATGCCTACAATATAAGCATGTGCAACTAAAATTTCTTAACAATTCCAGGATTTATATCATAAATCAAAGACAAACAAAGAAAGAGAAGGTTCATATATCTGATGTAAACAAAGCAAAAGAACACCCAATACGAATACATACGTAATTGACATATTTGCAAAAGGAAACCAACATCTTTTGAGTAATCCATATATCTGTGTAGTAGCATTAAATATGAAGTTGCCACTGCACACAAGGACCAATATGATAGAAATGTACTAATAATAAACCTAGAGCACTAAAAGGTACAGCTTACTTTCATTGAACAACAAAATCATTTAGTGCACAGTTCAAACAAACTACATGATCAAAAGCAGATATGACAGGGAACTAACACAATGGGAGTTGGGAGATATCAACCCCTCATTTAGCTTTACTATAAAATAGCACTTGATCAACCAACCAACTGCTAAGGAATCTATCAGATATATATTCAAGTACACTGATTTTCGTTGCAAATGACCAACAAACCAACTAAATTCAGGAAAGACGAGTACTTTACAGAAATACAACAAGAGTAAATTTACTTTCACAGCTGAAGCCCCTAAGATATAGTGAATTAATATGTCAAGAAAAACTAGTCAGGCTTGAGGTAAAGAAATGAACTTACGACATCCAATAGATATCAATTACTTGCATTTCCACCGACATAAATTTTATTTGAAAATCATGTGCACTCTAGCAAAAAATTTATAAATGATGATAATAATATATCAGCCCACATGCCAATTGTATGCTACTGTGCCAAAATTGACATTTCACTTGACCACCGAGTCCATCCAAGGGATAGCATACATGTTCGCCTATGAATACACATCTAGACATGCACAATCAACAGCATATAAAATGACTACATAACATTTGGAATTATATGAGAATTGCGACAAAGCTGTCTTCTGCTTCATCTACTTCTAGGCTGTAATTAATGTCATCTAAGTTAATGGTAATGTCATGATCCGAACGCTACAAAGTATCTAAGTTAACGGCATAAGCTACTGTGCCAAAATTGACATTTTACTTGACCACCGAATCCATCCAAGGAATAGCATACATGTTCGCCTATGAATACACATCTAGACATGCACAATCAATGACTACATAACATTTGGAATTATATGAGAATTGCGACAAAGCTGTCTTCTGCTTCATCTACTTCTAGGCTGTAATTAATGCCATCTAAGTTAACGGTAACGTCATGATCTGAACGCTACAAAGTATCTAAGTTAATGGCATACGTTACTCGAATCACACGTGTGTATCAGGCAGTGGCATAGCGCAATACGCGGTAAATCTACCACTAGCCAGCATGCACATGAAAGAAAAAACAAATGCAGAATCTAGCCACCCTCAATACACTACATACACACAAACAGGCATGTCACCGACAACCCAAACCTCGTAGAATTCACAACGCCACCGGCCCCACTTCCGAATTCATGAACCGAATCGGACAATCCCACGCTACGACGCCAAATCGAGAGGTACTTTACTCTACAACCAGCGTTTCGGCGTGGCACGTACCGTAGCTTTCTAGGGTTTGCTCGTCCTTGAGGATGCGGCCCTTGTAGATCAGGCGCTGCTGCGGCGCCGGCACGTCGCAGCTCCCTGCTACGACCTCCTTGAACGCGCCCACCGTGGCGCCCAGGTACGTCTGCACCGTGAACTTGGAGCCGTTCGCGCACCGGATGTGCAGCGTCGCCTCCCCCGCTGCCGCCTCCACTGAGGCAGCGGGAGGGGACTCACCGCTCCCTGCGCCCTCGCCTCCGCTTGCCATGGCCTCGAGACCTAGCTCCGATCCGGTCCGCGGCTCCGATTGGGGGTTTGCCGTGTGCGCGTCAGCTGCGAGGTCTCGCTCTTTTTTTTTCTTTCTTTTTCTTTCCTCCTGTTCCTTTATGCTTGCAAGAGATTGAGGGAAGAAGAACTTGAAGTCTGAAGAGGAATAGACAGAGTTTGACGCGTGGGATTTAACGGCGGGGAGCGGCGCGGGGTAGAGCTGATGGACGGTCCGGATTCGTCCCGTGACGTGGAAGTTTGTGTCTCTGTGCGGTGGGGTCGAGGTGGCGTTTTATCGGACGCGTGATGGACATGTGAAGAAGGTTGTAGGCATAGGCGAATGCGAGCGAGAGCGCGTGAGTATAGTAGCGTATACTACTAGATAGGAACGGGTCGGCCCGGACCTGGCCCTGGCCCAGGCCAAATTGCAGGGCCATGGGCCTACCCAAATCTGCAAAATCCTTTGGCCTCGCTGACCCAACAGGTATTGTCGGTCGACCCAAAAATATTATCACTGTTAGGTAATTGGAGAAACTTTTTTTTTTGCATTTCCACAATATATTCGGAGTACAACAAAAATATTATCACTTTGTTTGCCCATCACTGTTACTTCGGTAAAACAGAGCAGGAATTTTGCCTAATTTACCTAGCACAGAGCAATTACAGATCGCACAAACTGACAAACATGAACAGGAGCTACACTGCCATGGCTACAAAAGGGCAGCAGCACTTCAAGGTTCTGATAGTTAACATGCGGAGCTGACAGTGATCTAACAATCTAATGACTATAATAACTCAAGATGTCTCAAAGTCTTCCCAAGACTCCCTTCAATGAGATTCTGAGTCTTCATCTGCAGCATTGTTTTTAAGTCGTCTCCAAGGCGACGCCTAGGCGTCCAGGCGCTATTTTAAGCTGGGCGTCGGCCTCGCCACGAGCAGCATCTATATGGCGTCCGCCTTGCAGAAAAAGGCGTCGCCTAGGCACGATTAGGCGACGTTGGAGCTCCGAGTGGCCTGAGGCGGACGACGCACGAGCAAATCGAACGACGCCTGGCAGCGAGAGTTGCGCGCGCGGGCAATCGCGGCCGCAGGAGTTGCGCGCGTGGGGGAATCACTACTGCGGGAGTTGCGCGCGCGCGGGAATCGCAACCGCGGGAGTTGCGCGCGGGGGAAATCACGGCGCGGGCCTACAGCTCCCGTAAGTCCCTATCTCATCTCTCCCGTGCGCAAAGCCGCAAACTCACCTGTTCTTGGCGCCCGCAGCCACTCCGCCTCTTCTTCTCCATCGATTTGTGCCTCCCCTGCTTCGATTCGAGTCTTCCCTGCTTCGATTTGAGCCTCCCCTACTTCGATTTGAGTCTTCCTCCCTCTTCTCCGCTGATTTGTGCCTTGGATTCACGGCTCCTTACGCTGCTCCGCCAGTTCCAGCCTCCGGCAGCTCGGGGGACAGGACGATAGGTACGTGTGAGCATCTCTTCCTCTCCCTCCAGCTTCACTTCACCGGTGATGATCCGTACCGGCGACAGGCCTCGCTTCGCTTCGTCCGTGTTGTCAACTGCCTAGGGATGTTGTATCTAAACGGAGTGGTATTGAGCTTTTTTTCTCTTTTAGCTTGAGCATATGTTATGAGGTTATTCCACTTCTAAGAACAGTAGGATGTTTCATCGAGTCATATAGTTACAACAAACTCTGATATATCATATTTGTGGAGAGTTCAGTGTTGGTGTAGAAAGTTATAATACTCTAGGGATTCTAGGTGCCACTATGGCTGTTACTGTTACTGAAATTTGAAACTTCATTGGCTTTATGATTTGTTTGTTACTATGCTCTCCCCTTCCATCTTTTAATTATACTCTTAACTCTTGGTCTTTGCATGTAACAGCTAGCAGCAAACAATGGCAAGTCCACCTTCTGTCAACAATGCCAATTATGATCCAAAGAATGATCCAGCAAGGAAGGCCAAGTCGAAGGACCCTGGTTGGAAGTATGGTTATTGGCCGAATCTTCAAAACCGAGATGAGGTGACATGTACCCTATGTGGCACCATGGTTCATGGAGGGATCAAAAGGCTAAAGCAACATCTAGCTGGTGGCTATGGAGATGTCGTAATGTGTCAAAAAACCACTACTCCAATCAGAAAGCAGATGATAGATTACTTGGAATCCAACAGGAGGAAAAGGCCATTGTACCTAGATGATGATGATGAGCAGCAAGAGCAGGAAGGAGAAGCAGATGTGGTAGTAGTGTAAGGAACTGCACCTGAACCTGAATCCCAAACCTCCAAGGCGCACCCAAGTTCAAGGACTGCAACAAAACAAAGGCGTGCAGCCTATTCATACAAGGTTGCAGCAGCAAGCAAGGCCAAGGCAAAACCAAAGGGGAATAGAACAATTCTTGAGATGCTTCGAAAAACACCTGAAGAACTAGTTGATGAAAGGCGTAAAGGGTGTTTTCAGCCAACAATTCAGTCCAGCACAAAGACCAAAGAGCAGCAACATTATGTGGATATGCAATGGGCCTTGTGGTTTTATGAGTGTGGCATACCATTCAATACAGCAGCGGCAAGACAATTTCAGATTGCAATTGAGGCAACATCGCAATATGGTTCAGGGTACAAGCCTCCTTCTCCCTATCAGCCAGGGGATCCATTGCTTGAAGATGCTGTGAAGATGACAAGCACCATGAGGGAGGACCATGAGCGGGCATGGAAGCATGATGGCTGCACGCTTATGTCGGATGGATGGACCGATAGGAGGGGACAACATTTGATTAACTTCCTTGTGAATAGCCCGGAGGGGACTTACTTCTTGGAGTCCGTCGATGCATCAAGTGAGGTCCATGATGCATATATGCTTGCTGATTTGCTGGAGAAGAGAATTCAGGAGATTGGAAAAGACAAGGTTGTCCAAGTTGTCACTGATAATGGGGCTAACTACAAGGAAGCGGGCAAGCTTCTAATGGAGAGAATTCCTTCACTGTTTTGGAGCCCATGTGCTGCACATTGCTTGGACCTTATGCTAGAAGACATAGGGAAGTTGAAGGAATTTAAGAAGCCTATTGCACGTGCAAGGCGTGTCACAACCTTCATCTATAGGCATGGGAGAATTCTTAGTACAATGAGAGAGAAGACAGGTGGGGCTGATCTTGTTAGACCTGCAGCCACTCGATTTGCGACCTCGTTCCTCACTTTGAAGAGTTTGCATAAGCACAGAGATGCTTTGAAGGCTCTTTTTATAGTGAAGCATGGACCAGCAATAAATTGGCTAAAACTTCAGCCGGCATGGATGTGCATGACATTGTGCTCTCTACAGAGTTTTGGAATTCAGTTGAGGATTGCCTTAGAGCTTCAGCCCCACTACTAATTGTACTTAGGGTGGTGGATGGTGATGAGAAGCCCGCAATGCCAGAGGTTGCAGCACTTATGAATCATGCAAAAGAGAAGATCAAGCTAAGCTTTGCTATCCAAACCAAGAAAACCTTGCTCAAGAGAATTATGGAAATCATTGAGAAACGTTGGGTGAAACAAATGGACCATCCTTTATATGGGGCTGCACTGTACTTGAACCCAGGGAAATTACATCCTCTCATAAGAGCTGATGATGATGCCACTATTGGGCAGCTAAGAGGTTGCTTCCTTGAAGTTCTTGGAAGAATGGTGGATGATAAAGACACTCAAGCCAAGATTGATGCTCAATCCTTGGACTATGAAGCCCTTAGAGGAGATGCATTCTCAAATAAGATGGCTAAACAAAACCTTGAGTCAATGAGCCCTCGTAAGTACTGTTTTCTATTGTAATTTCAGCAATTCTACATTTCTGTAACTTAATTCCAGCAAGTATATTTCATTCTTAATTTGTACTATATTTTTGTATTTGACAATGTAGTTGATTGGTGGCATTCATATGGTGGCCGTGCTATTGAGCTTCAACGGTTTGCTAGGCGCATTGTTAGTCTATGTGCTTCATCATCTGGTTGTGAGAGGAATTGGAGCACATTCGAGTTTGTGAGTACTAAATACTCTATGATTTTCCTACTACTCAGTTTGTGTTTAATTTCAGCAAGATAAATATTTTCTCAAATTTCATTTGTAGATCCATACAAAGAAAAGAAATCGCTTGCTGCATAAGAGGTTGAATTCTATTGTATTTGTTTCCTACAACCGGAAGATGAAGACTAGGTTTCAGATAAGGCGTGAGAAAAAAGGAAAGAGTTTTGATCCTTTGGTCATTGAAGAGTTCGATTGGGACAATGAGTGGGCTGACTCTTCTTTTGTACACCGTCAAGGTGCTCGTGGGTGTGAGTGTGATGCAAATGATCTTAGATGGGAACATGTTGATGAAGCTCTTGGTGCATCAAGCTCGCTCCGAGGACGCAATCTCAGAAGGAATGCTAGCAGCAACCGTGCAAGACCTTCTAGCCCAAGTTTGGTTGAAGATGACTTAGGTTCAGATGATGAAGAAGATGAAGCAAGTCAAGACCCACATGATGATGCTGATGTGACAGATTGTGAAGATGCTCCTGGTCCTAATGGCTCCAACAATGGAGAAGACATTGAGGCTGCTGCAAACATCCATGATGAATTTGATGATGGATATTGATTGTTGGGGTGGGGGTTGGCTTTTGAGAGATTTCAGTCCAGCTTGCTTTTGTGTTACCTGTGCCCTGTTCTGCACTTACTTCATTAGAACCTTAAGCTTCGTTTGTAATGTATGTTGTGTGGATGTGGACTACTTTTAATTATGCCACTAGTAGCTCACTAGCTTGTGGTTGTGGATTACTTCGTGGATGTGGACTACTTTTAATTATGCCACTAGTAGCTCACTAGCTTGTGGTTGTGGATTACTTCTAAATTCTAATGTGGCTGGCTGGTTGTGGACCATATTAACTATGATGCTACTTATGCCATATTTTATTCACCCATGTTCCTGTTATTTGATTCCTAGCTTACACAACTTGTTTATATGTTTGCTACATTCCTCATTGTTTCTAACGTTGCTGCATTCCTCATTATTCCTGTAGCTTGTCGCCTGGGAGAAGAAAAGAGAGGTCACATTAACAAGGTAGACTTGATCCATATTTACTTAGCTAATTCATTGGATTATAGTATTATACAACTTGTTTCTGTTACATTCATCATATAACAAATATGTTTTGACTTGCAAGGGGCATGTGTGCTACATGGAACAAGGGAAATTGGAAAGAGGAGAGCTCTACAATCAACATCAACAAGGTATGATTTTGCTGCTCCATTGTTGGTTAGGACATGTGTATGGCGTCGCCTCGCCACGCGCCTTAAACGCCTAGTCGACTCGAATTGGCGGGTCGCCGCGCCTCGACTTACCGCCTTAAAAACCATGATCTGCAGACAACGAACACCACCTCAATTAGTGTATAATTTGTAACAGAGACAGTCATGAAAGTACCTAGTTTTTTTTTTAAGAAATGGAGACAGTCATTGAAGTACACAAATATAGATTTTTTTTAAAAAAAATAGATCTGTTCTCAAGCTGCCTGTTGATGTTCAGTCAAAGCATACTCACATACAGGTACAGAACAGGGAAAAAAAGAAACTCGTGTGGGGGTGGGGGGCTTTAAACAAAAATGGAAGGCAAGCATTTGCAGGTTAGGAGCAAGTCCAAGGTCTGCATACAAAGTTGAAGAACATGTATCAAACATACTAGTTTTGTTGGTTTATTTTCAATCCCAGAACAGATGCAAGATTCAGAGCCACGCTACAGTCAGCTGCAGCCTGCAGGACCAGACCAACAGGCAAGGTTGCTACTGCTATAAAGCGACAAACTAACAGGCAAGTGCCCGATCTACTATTCAACAGCTATTCAAGTGAAAGAAAATAACAGAAGTGTCAATTTCCCAGCAACCATAGTGTAAGAAAATAACAGAAGTGACTTTCCTGCCCATCCATTTGAAAGAATGACAGGAAATTTCACCTCAACCTGATTCAGCTCCATCTAATAAATTCCTATATAAAGCTATGATTTTTTCGCAATAACCACGTTAATGAAGAGTGCAAATACCTTCCAATGATAAGATGATGTCATGAACTGATTCCATGCTGCGCTCAGTACCAGCTGCATAAAACAAGAGAGGTGTTGGTTTTCTTACATTATGAGTGAACATTTAATCTTGAATTAACTTAGTAACTCTAACCAGCATTCATGTAAAAGAAATATTAACATGCTCACCACTATAAGCTCTGCACATGGCTGCTCCTCTAGCAGATAAATCTGGGGGTGGAACAAATCTTGGCCTTGTTATAACAGGTGTCAAGAAAGAGGTACCCCCTTGGTATAGCTGCTGCTTCCTTTCTTCGTCATCCATGTTTGAGATCTAAAAATGCAATTAAATGAATCATCTTCTGAACCAACTTATGTTACTAAATTAGGAAGTGGATTCAATAAATCAATGTGGGACATCCCAGACCAGTGCAGTGTTTAAATTTGACGGCATAAATAAATCAATCTGGGAGATCCCAGACCAGCAAGGGCCGAATAAAATCTAAAGCCTAACCGAAAGCATGATGAAGCAGTTCAATACTTCTGACAACTGTAATAATCTGAATTTATAATTCTGATCAAAATCACACCTCAAAAGAAGCAGATCTCTGGAATTACACACACAGGCCTACTAGTAAACACTGGAGCTCTAGTAATGGCTACTGCCCCTCTCTATACAGCCTACACACACTGGATCTTCAAAAGTTGCAACTTCGACACTAGTCCAAGATTGAAATTTAGGCGAAATATTTGAGGAGTGGAACGACGCGTTTAACTTAGCCCTATAGGCTATACCTACGAGTGTTCAAACGTTGTTCAGTTCAGGCGCAGTTACCTTCTCCGGAGGGGATCCAGGCGGCCTCGTCCTGCCGCCGCGCTGCTCCGCCGCCCGGTCCCCGCCGCCTGTAGCCACCGCGCCCGCCGCCGCCTAGAACAGGAGGAAAGAAAAAGCAAATGATATGAGATCGAGCGCCGAACAGCGCGAGCAGATCGGGCGGACCGGCCGGCAGGGGAGGAGCACCAACCTCACCGACGCCGACCCCCGTGGCCCCAAACCCTAAGGAATCGCCGGCGCTGCCTTCGCGTGGAGCGCGGACGGAGAGAGGAACGGAGACGGAGGGAGTCACGGGGTCGACCCGAGTTACCCGATGGGGCAACAGGGTCCGGCTCTATTGGCCCGTTTCCTATTCGAGAGGTACCCGTATGGCCCATTGGCTCTATTATTGTGGGTCGGGCCAATGACCCAACGGGTTGACCCGACCCGTTCCCATTTGCCACGGGTGCATGTATACGAGAGAACTCCTTATTGTCACTGTAACTAAGGGCCTGTCACAGGGCCAGTTTTACGTTTTCAAAGGCCCTAGGGCGAACTTGACAATGGCCCTTATGGCTACATATATGGATAATTATATAGGTGCCGTTTGGCTGACCTTAAAAGGCGGTTTCGGCTTCTTTTTTTTAGTCGAAACAGTTTTTTTTCTCTCACAACAATTTAAATTTTAACAGTATTTTTCAGCCAAACGAACGGGCCATATGTGCTAATATGCAATTGTGTGTGTATATATATAGAGAGAGAGAGAGGAGTTAATTGATGAGCAATGACAATAACAGGATACAATGACTAGATGAACAAGAAAATAACACTAATTTGATTACCTCAAAATCCTGAATAAAATCAAACTCTCATCGTGAAAAGAGACTCCTTTGGGCTTTTCTTGATACAAAATCGTTAAGGACGATGTCGAGATCAATAGTGTCCAAGATATCCTTCTCAATGCACCACATAGCTAAGTCATTCGATTTTTCTTGTGACATAGTTGACTTCAGATAGTTTTTCAATAATTTTAATTTGGAGAAACTTCTTTCAGCAGAGGTTACGGTCACAAGTATAGTCAAAAGGATTTGATAGGCAACTGAAACATTTGAATAGCAATTTACAGCCATAACGAACTCAAGAACCTGAGTTGCTGACATCATTTGCAGCACATATAATTCTTGTGACATTGCTGATATTCTTAATGGGTTGAGATCTTGTGACATTGCTGCTGTTGGGCTGGACAAGAGTGACATATGTAGGGAATACATATACCTAGGTTTGGGCCCCTTACTAAGCTGGACCCTAGGGCGTCGCACCCGCTGCACCTCCTCTAATACGGCCATGCTGTCACATCAGATGTGCAATGGGTGCATGTAGAGAATTCCCTTATTGCCACTACAACTAAGGGCATGTCACATTGAATGTTTATACTCATTTGGAGTATTAAACATAGATTAATTACAAAACTAATTGCATAGATGGAGACTAATGTGCGAGACAAATCTATTAAGCCTAATTAGTTTATGATTTGACAATGTGGTGCTACAGTAACATGTGCTAATGATGGGTTAGTTAGGCTTAATAGATTCGTCTCGTAAATTATTGTCCATATGTGTAATTAGTTTTATAATTAACTCATGTTTAGTCCTCCTAATTAACATTCGAACGTCCGATGTGACAGAGACTAAACTTTAGTCCCTGGATCAAACACCCCATAATAATAATCTTTTCATTGTAATTTAAAATTATAGACTTCTCTCACTGCCATCTATATAGAATTTTTTTATCCCCTCATTATCATCATCGTTGTATGGACAAGCCTTATTCGCTCGATTGCCATTCATATAGATAATCTGTTCCCCTAAATGCCATTGAGAGAATAGAGCACTGTTACAAGGTGTTTGTTACATAGAACTAATTCTTTGAGCATCATTGATAACCAAATTTGATCACTTTTTATAGTCTGAGTTTAATAGTATGATTAGGCAATTTTTTTGATGGATTAATTAAATCTAAGTTTAATTTGTTACTATCTTAAAGTAGATATTTTTTATTTTATCTCTAGGATATATTAAAAAATCGGCACTCTCCATTGTTTAAAATCCAAAAAAAACAATGCATCCTTCCATAACAAGCGTGATCCATCTCCAAGTACTTCCAAAAAAGATTTGTCTTTTCTAAGAGGTATTTGAAGATGGATCACGCTTGATATGAAAGAATGTGTTGTTTCTTCGTACTTTGAACAGTGGAGGATGCCAATTTTTTTTTCATAAATCTTAGGGATAAAAATAAAAATATCTACGTAGAGATAATGTCGAATTAAACTTAAATCTAGTTATTCTGACAAAAAAATGTCTAAGCATACTTTCAAACTCAAACTATAAAAAGTAATCAAACTTGGTTATCAATTGTGTTCACGGAATAAGTCATGTGTATCGAACACCTTGTAATGGTGTTTTGTTTCCTCAATGGCATTTAAGGGAACAAATTATCTATATAGATGGCAATCAAGAGAATGAGGCTTGTCCATATGTAGGTGTCGGGTTCATAAACTCGGGGTCCCTCGTGGACCGGCTTCACCAGCAAAGGCTCGGCCTAGCAGACAACGTTGTAAATGATGCGCAACTCATGGGCCGATCTAAATACCTAAACAAAAGGCCAGAAGGACGATCCAATCTCCGACCGGAAAGCCTGGCCAAAGAGGAACAGCGCTCCCTTTCGACTTCGGCCCGTCTCTGCGACCGGAAGGCCTGGCCAAACACCACTTCCGACTCTGACCCGCTTCTCCGACAGGGAATGCACCGAACCCCTGCTTACAACTCCTCTCCGACTGGCGCAATCAGAGCCGACAGGGACTAACCGACCGAGGACGCCCGCTCGGTAAGGACCAGGAAACAGACGGAGAAAGTAAGGAAGGGCACTCGAGTCAACCGCAATACCAAGGACCGTACCCTATACACCTGCCGGACAGTACCCTGCGACCTTCCTAGCATGATAGAACCCAAGCAGTGTTGTAGGCGCCGACATTTTCCCTACAGTGTTGTGGGCGCCATCAACTCCCATACCAGACAAGCACGGTAAGGCTCTCCCCCATATGTCTCTAGGCATCAACAGTGTTGTGGACGCTGGCATTTACCGTAACAGGTGAACATGGTAAAAACCCCTACATGCCTCTGGGCATCAACAGTATGGCAGGCACCGACGTCTGCCATATCAGAAGAAGACGACGCAACCTCCCATGTGCATCTGACATTAACAGTGTTATGGGCACCTACAATCATCTTGTATCCGACGGCATAGGCAACACGACTTAGCATACATACACTCTCTTCCTCTCACTTGTAAGGCCATCCCCTTCATCTATAAAAGGGGATACACTCTCTCCCAATAGAGAGATCGATTAGTTCACTAACACACAACAACAGTATCACTAGGTTCAAACCTCAAGCACACGCTCAAACACATAGCACATAGCAGAGCTCCCGTAACTCTTGGCCCTTCAGACCAGAGACCGACCGGACCTCTTGTACTCCCCATCTTTCTTCCTTCCGTTTGTAACCCCACAGCAAACTTCAAGCACCTGGGCTCAGGAATAAAGTCACCGATCGACTCAAACTGGATGTAGGGCACGTTGCTTGAACCCGTATAAACCTTATGTCATTGAGTGCTAGGCCACCTCCGATCACAACGTATAGCAAAACTACAAATATTTACGTGTTGATCACTTTCTGCACTGACAGTTGGCGCCGTCCATGGGGAAGACGCTGTACGTTCACACTTTTGGTCATTGGATGGCCCACTTTTCCGCCACCTTCGCCATGGCAGGCTCAAGCAATACGACTCGCTTTGGCTCACTAGAGTTTCCTGCACTCCCACCTGTTGGGATGTGGGTTCCACCCATCTTCGAGCCATCCTAGGCCTTCCTCTTTAGAAGCCTGGACTTCGTCGTCGACCAGCTCGGCGTACTGCACCTCCGCGAGGAGGCACTTGTTCTGGCGCCCGTCAGAGGGGCGCCCTCCATCGGCTCCCGAACATCCGACGACTCCAATGATGAGGCACCTACGCTTCAATCCGAGCAAACTCTCTGCTGAAACCCTGCTGTGAGTAATGTACATACTGTTATTTACTCGCTATTTACTATCTCCAGCCGATTATCTGGAGGGACCGCATTGTCCGCACCGCAACCACCGCACGACCGGTTCCCCTACGACCTCGCGTCCCTCGTGGATGCGTACGCTCGGGGGCTCCGAAGGACACTGGCGCCGCCCCCTCTCACATCCAAATTCGTGGGAATGGCGAGCTATGCTCCCACCACTTTCCATGAACTCCTCGATGACGAGGTTGAGAGCGACGGCTCTAGCATCGGCGATGTGGCACCTAGTCATTGTCCGTCCTGGGAGTATGCTATGGTGGACGCTCCGGGATAGCCGCCGGTGGTAGTGGAGTCCTTGCAGACTCACACCCCTCCGGACTCGCGTGCGGGGGCCCTTACGCTCGCACAAGAGCACGCCGAGGAGCTACGACAACGGCGGCATAACCAACCGCCGCCAACGTTGACGCGCTCGGTGTAGCACGTTGCACCCCATGCGCATGACCCGGCGAGCGACATCCAGGGTCACGCCCGCCAGGTCCAGCGTGACATCATAAACAAGGGGAACGACTCCCCATAGTTCACTCGGGCTAGCCAGAACATCACCGCTGCAGCAATGCTTCTGCGTGGCGTTCCTGAGCCCGTCGACCCCCAGGAGCGGGTGGTCTACCGGAACCTTCGGGCGCTGGTGGAAGCCGTTGTCGTTCAACAGGCGGAAAGCTCCGCATCGCGACTTCGACTCGCGCCCTCTCTCCCCACTGGGGGAGTGGGGACGCACCAGACAGATCGCTCCATCCACTCACTGCTACAGCCACCAAGCGCGGCTCAGGAGGCCGTGGCTGCGCCACGGTCCGACCTGGCGCCTGCTCCACACCGACCGCTGGTACGCGAACGGCTCAGTCCGCTCCAAGACGCTCGCAGCGTCATCAGCAACCGACATCAGGCCCGGTATGATGATGATGTCCTTCGGGCGACAGCAAGGGCAGGCGACATGGGTCCCGACTGGACCATCGAGGGGAGCGGTGAAACACGCCCTAGGCATGATCGCCGGCCAGACGACCGGAGTCTCAGCCCAGATGGCCTGGGACTACGGGCCTTTGGCTGGTGTATCCAGAGAGCGCCATTCCCACAGCGCTTTAGACCGCCCACCAACATTGCCAAGTATACCGGGGAGACGAACCCCGGTATTTGGCTCGAAGATTTCTGGCTCGCCTACCGAGCCGGAGGGGTGGATGATGACCTTTTCATCATTGAATATCTCCCCATCTGCGTGGGGGAACATGTTTGGGCATGGCTTGAATTCCTCCCGCACGACAACATCCGTGACTAGGTGGACCTCAAGAGGGTCTTCATCAGAAATTTTCAGGGGACGTATGTTTGCCTTGGTAACTCCTGGGACCTCAAGAACTGCCAGCAGGAGCCCAGTGAGTCCCTACGGGATTACATCTGCAGGTTCTCCCAATGATGCAACTCCCTCCCTGATGTCGTCGCCGCGGACATCATCAGCGCATTCCTCTCTGGGACATCCTACAAGTCCCTGATCCATAAGCTTGGCTGCCTGAAGCCCCGTACCACCCGCGACCTACTCGACGTCGCCACTAACCACGCCTCCGACGAGGAGGCGGTTGGAGCGGTCTTCAACGGAGGCCAGGACAAAGGCAAGGTCAAGCACGGGGACCAAGACGAGGGCCCCTCCACACAGAAGGGCAAGAAGAACAAAAAAGACCGACGCCGACCAGACAACACCGCGTTGGTCGCCGTAGCTGATCGCGTAGGCAAGCAACCCCAGTAGGGCCTGCCTGACCACTTCAACAAGCTCATGGTTAGCCCGTGCACCAACCACGCCTACCCCGTCAAACACCTCTACAAGGACTGCGAGCTCCTCAAACATTTCCCGCGATAGGCCGGTGGGCCGAAGGAAGGAGACGGCAAAGAGGCGCTAGCCAAGATGGGAGGCGCGGCAGGCAAGGATGGGGACAACTTCCCTGACCCCGAGGAATGCATCATGATCTTCGGGGGATCCGATGCCATCTGCTCTAATCGCTAGCACAAGGTGCGCTACAGGGAGGCATGCACCGCCGAGACGGCCGTCCCCTCCTTCCTTAGTTCGTCAGAATCTTCGATCACCTTCGATCAGAGGGGCCATCCCTCCCACGTTGCAAGACCGGGACGCTACCCGCTCATCGTTGACCCCATCATTCTCAAGAAGCACCTCACCAAGGTGCTAATGGACGGAGACAGCGGCCTCAACAT